ATGAGTGGTTGCGCAGACAACCACAAGAATTTTTTTCTAGAGGAATCCATACACTTCGTAAACGCTGGAGGGCCTGTATTGAACGAAATGTAGACTATGTAGAAAAATGATATAGTTGTGTACCGCTTTCACTCAATAAATTAAATTTAAAAAAAAAAATTACGGTTTTCATTTGACTCACCCTCGTATGTGTACAGATGTATTATGGGATAATGTAATTTCAGTGTTCTGCTGTGTAAGGGGATATAATAAAAGTCAATCAGAAGGTAGACCAGTAGAGAAACTGTGGAGAAATTGCAAATAAGTCATATCTGTGTGCTAATAAATTATGAAATTAAATGTATTTTCCCTCTTATTTGTAAATTCTGTAAGGCAGTTGCTATGCATAAAATTGTATTTCCTGCATTTTCTAATATAAAAATGTACTTTTCCACAGCCAAACCTGATGTCACATTTATAATGGATGATGCCGATGTTGTCGATTTAATTTCGGGAAAGTTGAACCCGCAGAAGGCGTTTTTCCAAGGAAAGATAAAAATACAGGGCAATATGGGTATGGCAATGAAGTTGCAAGATCTTCAGAGACGTGCGAAGAACAGAATTGAAGAATTCAGGTCCAAATTGTAAATGTATGGAATTTAGTCATTCCAAGTACTACATCGGGTGGAAGGTAATGTTTGTACGTACTGTACTGGTAATAGACTGTATATATGTGCATATGAATTTCTTGATATTTTGAAAGCTGGAGCATTGAACTTGCATACTGGATGTGAAGGATACAAAAAGCATAGCTTTGCAGATTTGTAGAATTTCGAGAAAATTTTCAAACATACTGTGTTCTTAAAAAGTTGCTCTGAGGGTCCATATAACAAATTAACTACCGTGTTCTCGTGTGGCAGAGTACGTAAAGACATTATCGTACAGATTGGATCAACCAGAAGTTTACCAAGGATGAAAGAAATAAGGAAATGTTGCTGAATAATATTTTCTGAATTTAAATTTTACAAAGTAACGCACAGTTCGTACTCTTGATTCTATGCTGTGTGACACACAAGCTACTGTAAGGGAAGAACTAATTATTGAAGTGTTGGTGGACCTAAATGGGATATTGTAGTTAGTAAACGACAAGTGACGTTTGTCATCCTGGAAATTCATTATTTTCCAAGAAAAGGGTAGAAATGTAGCCTGCCCAGAAAGGTTTTTTTTTTTGAGCTGATGCTTTGCTATAATGTATGTACGCTATGCAACTTCTCTTGTAGAGAATGCAGCAATATTACATCTTATGGACATATATACAGTATTTTATATTTTTGGTATATCTTCGATTACATCCGTGATATTAAAAATGTAATGAAATAACTAACCTTGTGCAATTGAGATTTATGGGAAGGGTGATATTTTCTATTTTTAATTCTGTTCCCCACGGGTGCCCAATTTGTTTTGAATGATGGCCAGAGCTGAAAAGTTAGTGTCATATGTTTTCTAATTCATTTGTAATTTCAATATGGCATAATTTTACAGACTGAGAATCAGTACCTGTGCATAAGTCTAAAGCGGCCCATCCACGTACGAGTCCGGCACGGCTCGGGTTCCATCGAGCCAAACTCGTTTGTGGGTGGGGTATCAGGACCGAGTCTGCTATGCATGTGTAGTGAAATATATCCCAGCCCGGCTCACGAGTCAAGCTCGCCGAGCCAGACTCGTACGTGGATGGGCCGCTTAACTGTGATGCAACTGTTAACGTTACTGCAAGCTGTTCAGATGTATTTACTGTAAGGCCGTACATTTTTGTAACATTGCCTAGAATCTCATTTCTTAACTTTTGTTTTGGCTGATTATAGTTTCTTATCTGTCTGTGGTTAAGAGCTGATACTCCTCCATATAAGTTGGTATGACATGTGCTGTTTGATAGTGATCAATTCCAGTGGACCAAATTCTGCGTCTGGCCTCATATGTTGGGCGTATCTAAATATACGTATCTGATATCTTTATATACTCTGCTGGTAATGCTCTGGTATTGGTCTTTGTAAGTGATCAATGTAAAATAAGTCACTTTGTTCAAGTGTTTTGCCTGTTCATAATAACCATTTTCATAGAATTAGTAAACCACAAAATAAGCTGGGTAGCTCAGTCAGTTAGTGACTGGCTACGGACTGGATGACCGGGGTTCGATCCCCGATGGGGGCAGAGGATTTTTCTAGCCTCTGCATCCGTACTGGCTCTGGGGCCCACCCAGCCTCCTGTCCAGTGGGTACCGGAAGGGGGGAGTTTCCCCAGGGGTAAAGTGTGGCCGGGCCATGATGCTGACCACTCATCCCCCTTTGGTGCTGGGGTTGAGAATCCATAGGAGCTGTACCGCCCCTCCCCCTGAGTTCCTACATGGCACATACTGGGGTAGCTTTACTTTCCTTTACTTTTAGTGAAGCACAAAATTATTGTTTTGATTCTAAACAATTTCAAACTAATAAATATTGTTTTGACATTTTATTTGGTGATAAGTGAGATACTAATATAATTTTTTTGGAGACGGGTGTCTTCTGCGCTGTTGCGCCACGTAGTCTGTTAGAAGTTTACTGATGTTTCATCGCCCTGATGATGGAGGCAGTAAGGACCTCTGAAACATCAGTAAACTTCTACCAGACTACATGGCGCAACAACACAGAGGATAGCCATCTTCGGACTCGCTGCTTTGGAAACCTCAAATCCTACATAAATTCTTTGTCAAGTAATGATGATAAAAGACTTGTCACTAGTGCACAGATTTGTTAATATTATTCCAGAAATTAGGTTATAATATTTTCATATCTATGTGTAATTACATCGTTACCTAATATCAGGACAAACTATGCTCCGTCCTGTGGTTATCAGTACTGAAACAATTTCAGACTTTTCCTTCTGTTTCAATTAACGTTAAATATGTAATTGTAGCATTCCTTGTTGGGGCAATGTATCAAGATGATGTGTTAGTGTTATTAAATGTTTGTATCGTATTTTAATGCTGCGTCACAGGTATTTACCTCTTACACAGAGAGATAAAGTGACGCAGTGAGCTGTTCGTTTGTAGGGAGCCTGCTTATTATTTAGTTAATTAACAGACAGTATAGTATTTTTACTATAATATGTCCTACCTGTTCAAATGACTTTCTCATATATGTGTTACAATTTTTGTTGAGGAAGGAGTATTTTCATTGGGTTATGAAGAAAATAAATCGGTACATACACCTTTGGTTTCCTTTCCAATTTATCATTGATTCTTGGCCTGCCGTTTCTCATTCACGCTATGACCTCAGCAGTTGACGCAGTGTTATCAAAATAAGAAACAACCATACATGGACACATACCTTTAACTCCTTTTAAAGGTACTTCAAATAGAATTAATATCTGAAATTTGTTTCGCATATAGGGGGCTTTAAATTAGGGCACAGAACAAGCATTTCTGGAAAGGTGGCATGGGTTAGAAAATTTTACATTTCACGGTTTCTAAATAATTAAGTTGTGGAAAAGAGCAAAAATGTCTGCTTTTACCAGCATGCTAAAGGAAATGTACACTGATTACTGGATTTATATTATACACGGCAGTCAGAAATGCATTCAACAGAATTTATATTCTCTAAATCGTAAGTCGGAGACACACATTTATTTTTCCTTGCCTGTATCATAAATCGCCTCTTCTTTGACAGGCTAAGTGTGCAATCGACTTTTTAAAGAATTTCCCGCACCATAGAGTGAGTTAGTGTCTCATAAATCATAAAACATTTGTTGAGGACAAGGCATTTGAAACGTGCATTTATAAGTAACTGACCTAAACTGGAAAGTCTTAACCCTTGGCCCTGTGATGTGTTTCGCGCTGCGTCTGTACACTTTTGTATTGCTTTATCACCTTGTTTAATGAAATTGATATGACTTAAACTAAATGTTTAAATTTAATTGAATAATTAATAAGCATAACATCAGGTCTATTAAAGACAGATGTTGAGTAGAATGATAACCTGCCTGTGGTAGTAAGTTTGTAGCATTTTTAATAAACTACCTCGTAGTTTTGATAAATTGCCCTCATTTATAATTTTCTGGCCTCAAGTCAATAAAGGATGGATGTGGTTCTGGACTTCTAAGCAATGAGAACCCTATTTTAAGCCGTTCGGAACAGAAGTAAGGAAAGAAAAAGGTTTCATTTTGCGCCACTGCTATATAAAAAAATTAAGTATGCAATTTCTTATAGCTACAGGGTACACAAAAAGATTTTTGTAAGAATAAATCGTGAGACAAATATGATGATTGCAGGGATGCTACTTCTACCACAATGTTCCATACAGAATAATCAAGTAATTGAATCATTAATACACATAAGGTGCTTAGAAAGTACATTCACGAGTAATGTTTTCTGAACGGTAATTAGAAGTAAATGAAATTGACATGTTTATTGACAGAGTATTTTCAGTTACTTAATATAAGATTATGCACTAGATAGTAGTGACACTGAGTTTAAATTGTTTTCAAAGGATTCTTGAAAATGTCCCATGATGCACACGTACCCAGTGGCGGCCCGTCCATCAGAGCTGCAGTACCGCCTATAATTTTTAAAAAATTGAAAAATTTATTTTTTTGTGTTTACGTAATTGGAAACACTTTATTTCCTCTATATCATTATTTTAATATTGTCATTGTCATTATCCACTAATCGGCTGAACTGATAGTAAGTCAACAGGCGAGGCAGGCGAAGCATGATGGGGCTGTTATTCGGCTGCCAGGATTTCAGCCCGGCTAGCCAGTCAAATGTAGTGAGGGCGTTGGGCTTTGGAGTGAGTGGCAGTTCACTGGTACAGTGCATATCGGGGCTGCAATGTTCGCAGCTCCATCTGCTTGTCACAAGTGTACAGCGCGGTTTGAGGTGGAGTGAGGGGCAGTTTACTGGTATAGGGCATATCGGAGCTGCAGTCCCCGCAGCCGGCTTACAGTAAACAAGCTTGCCTGGTACCACGTGTTTTAGACTGGTTTATGTATCACAAAATCTTTTGTGGTTATTGTTAATGAGTGTTCAATAATTCTATGTGCTGACTATTTGTTCTAATAATGATATTGAGCAAAGGAAGTGTATCATAGTTACGGCAAATTACTTTTTCTAAATTGTCTTTGAGTGAAAAGTGATGTAAAAAATCACGGCCGTCCTCTTCCGGATTTACAAATAGTTAAAAACATTGTCGAGCACGTATGGTTTTTCTCCTGATGTAAATTTACTTTTCATTTATTTATATTGTTGTGTGTGGACAAACTATTCTGGTTTTTCGCCCTTGTGCAGCACCACCACTGCTCAGACTCATGAGCTGCCACCGCACGTACCGGTGTGTGGTCTGGTACATATTTACTGACATTCCACAGGTTCTTGCCGACTATTGTCAGGTCAATTATGATGGAAGCAGCAAGTACCTTAGAAACGTGAAAATTCTGCCAGACTACATGGCGCCACATGCTAGGTGACAGCCATGTTCACATCTGCTGACATGAGAACCTCAAATCCTACTAGATAAATCATGATTGAGACCAAGATGCTGGTTGACGCACTTATTGATTTCTGAGGGTTTCCTTCCTTCCTCCTTGGCTCTACGGTCCTCTGAGGACCTTGGCCTCCCTTATCACAGTCTTCCAGTCATCCGTTGACTCTGCCTTCCTTCGCTATCTGTTTAGTCCAATGGTTCTCATATCTGCCTCCACATCACCTAGCCATCTCGTACGTGGTCGTCCCCTCATCCTCCTTCCACCTGGTTGACCAATTAGCGCCTTTTTTGGGTACCTTCCACCAGTCATCCGTTGAATATGTTCGAGCCATCTCACTCTGCCTATCTTAATAGTAGCAACGAGATCTGGTTCTTTGTACAGGGCTCTGATTTCTTCATTCGTTGTTATTCTCCATTTGTGTCTTTCCTTCACTGGCCCAAATATCTTTTGCAACATTTTTTTCTCCCATAAATTAATCCTCCTTTCTGTTGTTTTCATTAGGACCCATGCTTCACTCCTATACATTATTACAGGTCTCATAATAGTTTTGTACATTCTCAATTTGGCCCTTCTACTTATATTTTTGATTTTAAGGAGAGTAAATAGAGCCGCGTAACATCTATTGACTGCCTTAATTCTATTAGTTATGCCTATAGTTTATAGTTTAGATGTGTCATGTTTGTGTTTTCAATTCATACATATATTTATTCTTCAAGTCTATACACAAACTATATTAATATTGATGTTAAAAATTAAAATTGATATAAATATTTCGCGCTATTCATCGTTTCCTCGATGTTACAATTTATAGCGCAAATTGTAACATCGAGGAAACGATGAATAGCGCGAAATATTTATATCAATTTTAATTTTTAACATCAATATTAATATAGTTTGTGTATAGACTTGAAGAATAAATATATGTATGAGTAGTTATGCCTGTTTCAACATTATTATTATCTGTCATTACTGAGCCCAGATATTTAAAATTCTCAACTGCTTCAAAAAGGTTATCTTCTATATGGAGATGTTCCTTCTTCCTTTTGTTTCTTTCTGTTACAATATATTTGGATTTGGCTTGACTGATTTCTAGTCCCAACCTTCTGGCTGTTGTTTCAAATTCTACGTAAGCAGATTTCAGTGCCCCCCTATTTCTGACTGATATTACATCATCTGCATATGCTAACCCTGCTTGATATTCCCCTAGTATGGTCTCAGATGTCTCGTTATCCTCTTTGGTATTGCTACAGATAGTATTTTATTTACTACGCTTAGTAACGCGATCCCTCTGTAATTTTGACATTTCATGCGTGATCCCTTTTTGTATATTGGACATATAATTGTTTGTTTCCAGTCTTGTGGCATTTTCTCTTTCTTCCAGATCAAACTGATTAATTTATGTATCCTACTTGTCAAACTACCCCCTTCATTTTTTATTATTTCTGCTGAGATCTGATCAATCCCCGGGGCTTTGTTCCCTTTTAACTTATCTATTATTTCTTTGATTTCTTCTGTGGTAGGTGGGTTTATCTCTTGGTTATTCTCTTCTTCTATTTTGTCTAATTCCCCTTCCTATTCTCGCCCTTCTCCCGTTAACAGTGCTTCAAAGTGTTGGGCCCATTTTTGTGGTACATTTTCCCTTCCTGCTACTATATTTCCTTCTTCATCCTCTAACCACTACAGTCTTGGTTGGTAGCCCTTTTTAATTTCATCCACATTTTTGTAAAATTTCCCTATTTGTTTATTTTTAAAATTATTTTGTATTTCATCCAAAAATTCCCTTTTCTTCCTCCTTATAATTGTTTTAGCATTCCTTCTTCTTTCTTTATACTCCTTTAGGTTATTTCTGGTTGGTCTTTGTAACATCCTACATCTGGCTTTATTTCTTTCTCCAAGGGCTTTACCAATCTTCTCATCAAACCAATCATTTCTTCTTTGTCCTTCTATTCCTCCCAATACATCTTGAGCGGTTGATTTGATGGTTTTCTTTGGTTTTTCCCAAACATCTTCTATATCATCCTCATCATTGACTTTTTCTGCTTGTCTTAATTTATCTTTAAACTCCTCCAATTTTCCTTGCTTTTTGAGTTCCTCCACGTTGTAAGCTTTGTTCTTATCTCCTGTTGCCTTCCTACTTTTGATTGCTAACTTCTGTCTTGTTTTCAATCGTACCAAACAGAGATCTGAATCAACTTTTGACATCTATAATATCTGTTGTATGTCTCTTGTCTGTCAATACATGGTCGATTTGGTTTATAACCCGCCCATCCTCAGAAACCCATGTTTCTTTATGTATTTATTTGTGGGGGGGGGGAAAGGTACTTTTAATGACCATCTCTTTACTTAATGAAAAGTCTACTAACTTCCTTCCATTCTCATTTGTTTCTTCATGTATGCTATACCGTCCGATTGCCTGCCCAAGCTCTTTTTATTTTCCAATCTTGGCATTGCAGTCTCCTAGTACATAGAGATGTTAAAAAACTTCCCTCTTAACCTGAGCTTACATATCAGAACTGTCACCATCTCATATGCCATAATATTATGTCTGATAGTTTTCTTTATCATAAATCCAGTACCTAGGATGTTGGCTTCTTCCCCACTATTAATCAGTGTATATAATCTCGTAACTCTGTTACCTCTGTTTCCTTCCATCTGATTTATTGTAGTGCCACTACATCTATCTTATACTTTAATAACTGTTGTTCCAATCTTTTTCTAGCTTTGTGCTGAAAAATACTTCTTACATTCCATAGTCCAAACATTCTCGTTTTTCCCTTTTTACATTGCGGAGTTTGGCATAATGTTGAGGCTGTCCAGCTATTACTGTGATTTGGCTTCTCAGCTGGTTTTGTTTTTACGGTGTGGGGTAGTTGGCCCTATGCCCAACCCTCAACCTGAGGGACCAGGTCATTTGATTTTGGGGTTTCCGTCCCCTAGAATGGTTGCTTTCACCACAGCTTCTGGAGTCCGGTCCACCACTGCCTTCTAGCCTTTGGATAAACAAATCCTATTTGCAAGGCAGCACAACCCTCCTCCTTCCTCAACCGGGCTTGGGACCATCTATGGCGGAGTTTGTCTGAGGGTTTAGAACTGTTTTTTCTTAAAAATTACTGTTATTGGCAAACAAGTATTCTTTAATTGTTGAAGTTTCCTAAAAATGTGAGAAGGCAGAACTACCTTATCATCTGGCTACCGACGTCTATCTTCTGTTTACTGTTGCTTTATAGATAATGCCCATAGATGTCAGTGAGGTTGTGTATTTTACGAAATGTGTCAGGAATTAAGTTCGAGTTAGTAGTCCTGTGGGCTGTGGCACCATGTTGTCAGTATGAATTTTACGATGCCGGCTTAGAAGTTGGGTAGAGGCATGTTGGATCTAAATTAAACTTCTGTGATTGTGTGTAGTGTCGACTCTCTCTGTTTTCGTTATAGCTTTGGCTCATTATTCGATTTCACGAAATGCTTATGTTTGCGGTTAATCAATTCCTATAATGGATAAAGCTCATTTGTGTGAATATTGAATGAAATGGGTTAGTTAACATGTCAGCTAACATTCACTTATTCTGTATTTTATCTTGCATGTAGAGATGTACGTGGTGATCGGATCCGTAGTGGAATTACTGATGTGTTAATCTCGCAGTGCAGCGTATACCAATATGTTGATGGACATGAGAATACAGAAAATAAAGGAAGACCTTGGCAGTCTGTGACAGTATTTGCGTTATGTTATACGTTACATTATTGTAATCAGAGGCATTACTTGGAAATGGCTTTTATGTTAAGAGCTACTAGCTTAAAAAAACCTAAATTCAGTGAAATTTTAGGTGGTTAGGTTAGAAGGCTTCAAATTTGGACTACCATCTATAACCAAACTTTAATTTAGAGGTAAGGATACAAGGCTACTGTGTCGATTATGCTTCAAAAGCACTTTTCATACCGTATAAACTGATGGAATTATTTTTGGAGACGCAATAAAAAATTACATATATCACTGCAATTGACTCATTGCTGTTTTGGTATAGCTATGGACTTGTGTCCAGAAGGTACTCAGTTCAGTTCTGAGCTGAGTTACTGGCTGTCTTGAAGTACTTTTTTTATTTTCCTTAGTCTCGGAAGCACCAACATGACAGATTCTCAGAATCGTGATGTTGGACCATGATGACGCCTGATATTGATGATACCATCGCATGTCATGACACTTTTGATGCGATGCCTACTGTATCATTTTTGACTTTTTGGCACAGTGTATAGTGATGCATAAATGTAAAATATCACTTATTTTAGATTGACATGCAGTTAATAATACTATTGTCATGTTGGTATTACTCATTTTGGTGTAATTCAGTGTAAATGCCTACTGAAAATAAGTAAAGAAATACATTTTTTGTATCAGTTGCAGACATTTGATTTGCATGCTCCACATCAAACCCTGGAAGAAATTAGTGACGGAGTTGCAATGGCACAGGCTCTTACCCAAATGTAAGTTAAAATATGTTACAAAGAGCTCAGTATTGGGAAGATGTGTGGAAAGATCTCGCTTTCCACTGTTGTCTTCTGTGACAAATTTAAAACATTGTGAATGTGGATAATACCAGGTTCTCAACATGTTTTGGATTTCACCTTAAGCTTCTAACTGTGTTGTTTATTACCATTTTGATACAGACTTTCTTCGTGTTCAGGTCGATGCTGAAACACAGTTTGACAGATTTTCTAGTTTTATATCTTGCATACAATCAGTTGATAATAATTTCTTAACCATTTCACCACCCTTCATATTTGGATTAGGTCTGATGTCACATGGATGGATCATCAGTCGCATTCAACGTTTTTCTTTTCATCTTGAAATTGTTTAACCCACACCAAAAATTTGTGTTGCACTTTTTGTTCATCTTCCATAAACTTGCTTTACATTTTGAAAATGTTGTTGGCTTTTAAGAATTTAATGTTGGTTTTCTGTTTTAACAATTCATCACATGTGTCTTAAACAGAGAAAGAAAGAAAGAAACAAAATGCATTACCACTTTACTGTAGTTGCAAAACAGTCTGAGTCTGAAAGAAGAATTTTACCAATGTTTCAGAGGTCCTTGCAGCAAGGACCTCTGAAATGCCAGTAAACTTGTACGAGACTACACGGCACTAGAACCCAGAAGACAGCCATCTCTGGACTCACCGCCGTGAAAACCAGAAGGCCTAACTTGTCCCAGTCTGAGTGACTGACAGAAAACTCTTGAATCATGTAGTTACGTGATGAAATGTGCGGAAACTTGCCACTGGTCCACAAAACCTCAGTTCTGTTATTTGTGATGGATGTCAAAAATTAAAACTGATGCTGGGAATACAATCCAATGTAAGCCATGCGCAGCGATGTAAATACATTTTTTTTGTGGTTTACTTTGTCTGGTTGACAGAATTTAAGTGTGAACAATTTTATTGCATAAGTGTTTGTATTAGGATTAGACAGTTATATTGAAAATTATTAAATATTACTAACATGTTTATGCTAGTGGTAATTATAACCTGTGAGGAATCTGAAAGAAGTCTGTGGGGTTATTTCTTCAAATGCTTACTGTTCTATTTGTGTACTGAAGAGAGATTGATTTTACATGGGAAAGAGGATTTTTTTTCAACATAAAGTTATCGCATAACAGTTGAGGGTGTACAATTTGAGAGGTTTTTTAATAACTAACTAACCAACCAAAGCCCTCCACCGGACCGTGTCCTGGGCCAACAAAATCCAGTCTCCTTCAACTCCTATCTCCCATAGATCCCGCCTGACATTATCCTCCCATCTACGTCTAGGTCTCCCCAGGGGTCTCTTCACACCTCTTGTCCCATCCATGCGCGCTACATGCCCAGCCCATCTCATTCTTCTCGACTTAATCACCCTGACAATATTGGGGGAGGAGTACAGATTTTTAAGTTTTCTCCACGCCCCATCGTCTTCTCTCCTAGGCCCAAATATCCTCCTCAACACCCGATTCTCAAACACCTGCAATCTGTGTTCCTCCCTCAGAGTGAGAGACCATGTTTCGCACCCATACAAAACAACAGG